TTCCATATCTCTAAAGAATGGTTGAGGGGATATAGTTGTTTTGGGAGTTGGGTGGGGAGGCCTCTGAATTATCTTCAAGCAAGAAGAGTACTAGCTCTTGAGGGGAGGGTGGGCTGCTTTTGCAATTTAAGGGGGTTTAAGAGATATCAGGGCATTTGAGATTTTGGAGGGGCCTCAACTCATAGGTCTGCATCCCATGTATTAGGGTCTTATTCTTTCCCAGTCAAGGCCCTGACATTGGTATAACATGCCTCCTTTGATTGAGAACTAACCTTTGGAGCTGGCCTACACAGCCAATTGACTCCTGGGCCTGGCCTTCAGCTTTTTGTGTCCTCCTGTTGTAACAGAAAAAGCCTTTCTTGGGCTGGCCAGTTAGCTCAGTTAGTTAGAATGCCAAGTGCTACCAAGGTCAAGGGTTCAGATCCCCTTACTGGCCAGCTGCCACCAAAAAGAAAAACCCTTTTTTGTAAGTTACCCAAGGAGCCCTTGTGGCTTTCACATTTGGCTTTAAATTGACTGTTAGTCACTTTCATCTTTTTGTTTCTTTTTTTTACAGCAATAGCTTTTCAATTTCATTGTCATTTTAGTTACTGTTTTCTCCTTAGTCTTCAAGTGCCTGATAGAGCTAATCAACTAGTGCATTCTCTTCCACACTAGACCATCACTATTCACCACTGGCAAAAGTCTAAGAATTGGACCAGAATCTTGTGTCGGGCATTACACCGACCACCAGTGATGGGATCCTCATTGCCATCTAGTTAGCTCATGATTCAACTTTAGAACCCCATTTAATTCCCAGTTTTCTCTGATCATTTCTGGTACTAACCATCAGTAGGTTGTGTTCTCTGAAAAGGAGGCTCAGAATTGGAGTTAAGTATTCAAAATGTTTATTAGGGAATGCCCTTTGAATCAAAACCATGGGAGGAATAGAAAGCTGCATCGGGCAGATTTGACCCATGTCTTGATTGGGGTGAAGAAGGCTGGATATCTATACTTAGTCGAATTCCCTTCAAAACACTTTTTTTGTTTTATTTTCATACTTGAATGTTCTAAACTTATAGCTCTCTGAACCATCCTCCTGTATCTAAAATAACTTCCACTTTCCTTAGGCAAAACCAATTTCCTCCCTCAAAGATGTCCCTCAGACATTCCATAGTTTATTGATTGCATTGCATTTCCTTGAAAGCTGAAACTACTCTTAACCACTGTTATTCTGTAGTAAGTTAGGGACATACTTTAAGATCAAAATTAATTCTTAGTTAAATTGGATGTTTGTATTTCAGTTATTTTTCTTGGAGAAAAATGCAAAAGATGAAATTTTATGTACTTTAAGATTAAATGGAAATATTGAAATTGATCAACTTTTGTACCACAAAGCTAATTAAAATTAAAGTAACAAAACTGAAAAAAAAAACCATGTCCCTCATATCCTTTCTCAGGTGTTTATACGAGTTTGTTTTTGGGGTTTTTTGGTGGGTCTTTTTTATCATTTAAAAAAAATTTTTACACTTCTAAGATTAAATGGAAATATTGAAATTGATCAACTTTTGTACCACAAAGCTAATTAAAATTAAAGAGTAACAAAACTGAAAAAAAAAACCATGTCCCTCATATCCTTTCTCAGGTGTTTATATGAGTTTGTTTTTGGGGTTTTTTGGTGGGTCTTTTTTATCATTTAAAAAAAATTTTTACACTTAATATAAATAAAATCAATCAGAATAAGTATTAATACTCTTACAAAATTAGAGATACAAAGAACATATAGAGTTGGCCCGTTAGCTCAATTGGTCAGAGCACAGTGTTGACAACACCAAGGTCGAGGATTCGGATACCCATACCAGACAGCCACCAAAAAGAAAAGAACATATTAAGGCAGGAAAATATAATAATTAAATTAATTTACAACAGTCTAAAAGCTAGAGTTTAGGATCATCTACATTGGAAAATGAACTGATTTCAACGTTAAAATTTTCTTTACTATCCTAAAGACCAAATTCATAAAGAGTTCGCTTATCCATGAAGATCTCACTGTTCTACTTTATAAAATGAGCATAATAAGAGTACCATCATGATACAGTTGAAATAAGAATTAAGTTTGAACCTAAATATATAGTAAGTATTTAACAAATGTTCTCTGTTGTTACTATTATGTCTTTCTTGGGCACAACTCTACCCTCAGTGCCTGGCAATTCTTGTTCCTCTCATGTCTTTTTTTTTTTTAAAGATAACCGGTAAGGGGATCTTAACCCTTGACTTGGTGTTGTCAGCACCATGCTCTCCCAAGTGAGCCACTGGCTGGCCCTCTAGTTCCTCTCATGGGAGGAGCTTGATAAAGGCAAAGTATTATTATTATTATTATTTTTTTGTCTTTTGACGTGACCGGCAACGGATCGCAACCCTCAGTGTCGCGCCCGTACAGGACCGGGACCAGCAACGGGATCGCAACCCTCGGTGTTGCGACCGCACCTCG